AGAATATGCTTATCGCTGGGACATTTCGACTTGTCACAAAAGCAGCAGTGACCCTACCCTTCAGAGGGAGACCACCCACATATTTCCTAGACGCAGCAACCACCACTTGGCACAAAAATTCAACCTGCAGCAAAGACCTGCTTCCCCCTCTGGCCCAGCGGCCCAACCCTCCGCTAACCCTCCCACCACACTTCCTGAACTGGTTTCTAAGGAATATAAATTATGCATAAGAGTGCGAAAGAAAATATGCAAGAAGAGCATTCTTCTTCTGAAAGTCAGCATTTTTAAAATGTACAGTCAAAACAACAAAATGGACTTCTAACTTTTAATGTTCTTTAAAAAATTTAAAAGCAGACTGACCAACTCTGATTCTGATCTTTATTACTATGCAGCAAAATCAAGTACAACTTTATGTCCAATTTTTACACTAAAGTTTAAGCAGAATTTAAATTTTTATGTTCAGTTTCTCCATGTCTCATGTATCACTCCATAAGGGAATTTTATGAACAGATAAATTTTTTTTAAATTTAGTCATATACCAATAAAGTTAACAGAAATGGAAGAAACCAAGTTTTGTGCCAACCTCAGTGAGCGAGCACTGACAATTATTCTCTAGTTGAACACGGCACCTGCAGAGAAACCGCATCCCTGTCATCAAAAACACGGAAACCCATGACTGCCAACTGGCTGACACGCGCTTCCCTCCCTGGGAGTACCTGGAGGGGTTAAACGAACGCCACGCGGGATGGAAGTGTGTGTAGCAGATGCATCTGCAGCCCTGGCACCACATGCAGGGACTAAGTGGCCATTTCCTGCCCGAAGTCACGTTCCGGCAACATGACTGGTCTCACAAGAAGAACCTGTCACCTGTCCTGATGATCCCGCAGGCAATTCTCAGAGTCCGGCGACATTTTCCGTGAGGTTTTATGTTCCCAGCGATACTCTGGTTTTGGCATATAGACAGCAACACGTCAAGATGTGATGATTATGTCAGACAGGACTCCTCTTCGAGGACATGTCACTTATGGAAATGCACACGAAAGTTCCAAAATAACTGAGCAAACAGCAAACAATACTTATCTGGTTTCCCCCATCTCAGCAGCTCTTTTGTTTTCTTGGAATCTTTTCCTGCACTGTAACACCGATCAACGATCAACACAACAGCCCGGACAGACCTCCCTGGGATCGTACTGAGTGAAAACTCTCGAAAGGTCACACAGTATACCATTCCACTGAAACGGCATCCCCGAGGTCACAAAATCATAGACAGAGAGCAGATAAGTGGCTTCAGAAGGGAGCAGCAGCGTGGCTACACCGGGTAGCATGAAGACACCTTGTGATAACAGGACAGTTCTACCTCTCGGCCGAGGTGGAGGCTACACAAAGCTACGGGTGCTAAAACCACACGGAACCCACACACACACACACACACACACACACACACACACACACATGTGGGCGCATGCAAAACTAATGACATCTCGATATGCCCGGGAGTTGTACCAACGTCAGCTTCCTGATGTTGAAAGCATCCTGCAGTTACGCCAGACGTCCACATGAGGAAAGGTGGGGAGGAGAATGCCAGGGACCACCCCCCCATCCGTTTCTTCGCAACTTCCTGTAAATCTGTAATTATTTCAAAATAATGATTTAAAAAACTGAGACTAAATAAAAAGGCTAAAATTGTTTTTAATGACAATTAAAAAGAGAGAAACAGTTTATCAACTCCCATATGCTGAACTCGTATTAGCCAAATTCAGTGGCACCTGGATTCAAATTCATCAGAAAGGCTCAAGTTAATTTCATGAGACACTAATTAGTTCACTACCTGAGCCACAAAAGCCACAGCTTTGAGTGGCAGGGCATGACACAGGGCACCTTTCCAAATCTTGGAGCCTAGGAAAAGCAACATTGCCAGCCGGGCAGGAGTGGATGACTAGCCCCGCTGCAAACTGACGCAGAGCACGCTCTGCCTACCTCCCCGTGCCCCGTACCCACTGCCCTCAGACTCTCAGCACAGGGTCTTAGAGGGGAAACTTAAGAAACTAGTGAGAAAAGTCAAAGAGAGCTGCAAATTTGAGTTGAAACAGACTTCAACGATACTTCAGCTCAAAATCTACCCCTTCATCCCTCAGTTGGTTTCCAGCCACGGAGCCGGGAAGAGACAGAGCAGGGTCAAGTGCCTTGGCTGCCTGCTCAGTGTCCTCTCCACAGAGCCTGGCTGCTCCTGCCACTAGCCCTCACGATGGCAACAGCGCAGGCACCAAAACCAGAGCCGGCCGGGGGAGTGGGGAGCAGTGACTCCTCTCCCTGCAACACAGGGGCCCGGCTCAGACCAGCTCTGCCCCGGCCAGCTCTCCAATCCCCTCTCCGGGCACCAGCCCCAACTGTGTTCACATTAATTCCCTGCTCCTCCTCCAGCTCCTTGGTCTTCTGCCTGATGTGCCCTTTGGACAAAACCGCCCAAGAATCACATCCTGGGGGAGGTCTTCTCTGGCTCACCCATCTATGCGCTCACTGGGTACACGTCACGTGCCAGATGCTGTGAGAGGAACGTGACGCGATGAGCAAGACACGGTCCCCACCTCATGGAGCCTACAGTGCCGTGGGGGACACAGAGCCACATGGGGAGCAGCACCACAAACTGAAGACACTGCTTGGAGGAACAGCACCATGGCTGATGAGACGTAACGGGACAGCAAGGCTGGAAGCTGTTTCTGAGGAAGGGCCACAATGAACAGAAACCTGGCTCCCCCAGGAAGGATCAGGCACCCTCTTCTTCTAACAGCTCCTTTATGGGAGGGACTGTCTTATTCATTGGTCTACACCAGTGGTTCTCAACCAGGGACAACTCTGTCCCTCAGAGGACATTTGTCAATGTCTGGAGACATTTTTGGCTGTCACAACTGAGGCATCTAGGTGCTGCTGAACACCCTACAAGGCACAGGACAGTCCCCCACAACAAAAGATGATCCAGCCCCAAATGTCAGCTGTGCCAAGGTGGAAAAAGTCTGGTCTACACAGTCAACAAGTAGTTACAGAGTATAGTGGTTCCCCCTTTTCCACAGAGGATATGTTCCAAGACCCCCAGCGGATGCCCGATACCTCAGATAGTACCAAACCCTATACATACTATGTTCTTCCCTACACATGCATACCTATGAAGTTTAATTTATAAACTACGCTTTATTAAAAAAAAAATCTCTCAATAAGAGATTGACGATAACTAATAACAGAACACCTATAACAATATACTGTAAGGTCAGGCGCAGTGGCTCACGGAGGCTGAGGTAGGAGAATCACCTGAGCTCAGGAGTTCGAGACCAGCCTGAGCAAGAGCGAGATTCTGTCTATACTAAAAATAGAAAAAAATTAGCCGGGCAAGGTGGCATGCACCTGCAGTTCCAGTTACTCAGGAGGCTGAGGCAGGAGGATCGCTTGAGCCCAAGAGTTGGAGGTTGCTGTGAGCTACGATGACACCATGGCATTCTAGCCTGGGGTGACAGAGTGAGACCCTGTCTCAAAAAAAAAGATAAAAAAACTATAAATAAGTGATGTGAATGTGGTCTCTCTCTCAAAATATTTTATTGTACTATGCTCACCTATTTTCAGAGCACAGTTGACCGTGGGTAACTGAAATCTCCAATAAGGGAGGACTACTGCACTCACTACGTGGCAGGCACCGTCTTGTCAAATGCAGGACCTGGCACGGAACATACGTCCAATAAGTGGGTGACTGTCTGAGAAAATGGTTTTCAATCTCAATGTCCTGCCCCATACAACTTTCTTCAAAAATGAAAGAACAGGTGCTGTACCTGATTTAAGGCTGCTAAGCCTTTGCCCAAGAGGTCCATGAACAAGTAACATGCACGCTTAGTTTTACAAAACACATTACGATTATGAATACTGCTGTCTTGGAAATTTCATTATGTAGCAAAGGAAGAGGAAAGGCGCTGATCTGGGAGTGTGTTTCTAGCCTTTCTTTGCAGAGTAGGGAAGGGGCAGGAAGTCTTCTACCCTTCCACAGAGTCTGTGGCAGAACCAGACTGTCCTCCTGACCCCCCGCCCCGGCTAAGGGGGTGACAGTTTAAAGGGAAGGTTCGGTACCACAGCATCGATCAGTAGATGAGGTCACAAAAATTCCTCAAAACGTACATTAACCCTAAGGTAACAAAAATCACCAAGGCAACTACTGGCTGGATAAGGAGGAAAAAATAAACACAGCAGACAGGAAACTGACTTTTTCCCCCCTTACATTAGATAAGGGGATCATCTCTGCACACCAAAGCCAAAACCATCGGTGGCCGTGCACCCACGTACATGTCCCTCGAACGGGCCAAGCGCCCCGGCCCGTTCCACTTCTGGCGTGGACTCCCGCCCCGGGGACACGCGTGTGGCCGAGAGGGCTGGGCCCGGAGCCGCGGGCCACGCAGTCCCGAGGCCACCCACGCCGGCCTGCTCCCGTCCGGCCCCCTGGGGGAATGAGTCATTTTAATCGCAGCGGGTGAGATCTAATCAGGGCGCAATAAGCCACCAACCCAGGTCGGAGACGTTCCCCGGGAAGACGCGGATTTCTAGATTTCCGCTCCCGCAACGCAAAGCCACGCTGTTTTGGAAAACGCGGGGTTAAACGCTCCGCTACTAGAAAGACCGAGATGACATCATGCTGGGGAGGGGCGTCTTGGCTGGAACCCCCTCGGCGGGGCCACAGTACCCCGCACCCGCGCGGGCCAGCGACCAGGGTGGGGCGCGGGGGAGGACGCCGCCCGCCGGCTCCCCAGGCCCCGCACCCAGTCCTGGACCCCGCGCTCCGCACCCCGCTAGCGCCCCAGACCCCGCGCCCCGCCCTGGATCCCGCAGCCCAGCGCCCCAAACCCCGCACCCCGCCCCAGGCCCCGCACTCCCGCGCCCGCCCAGCCAGGCCGCCCCAGACCCGCACCTGCGTCCCCGCCAGCCAGGCCGCCCCCCGCCCGCAGGCCCGAGCGGCGCGGGCCACTCACAGTTGCGGATGTCCGAGATGAAGACCGCCAGGCCCCGCATCCCGTCCCCCTTAGACACGGCCGGCATCTCCGGGCGCCGGGAGCGGCCCGGCTGGCGGGCCCGGGCGGAGGAGCGCGGGGAGCCGGAGCCGGAGCCGGAGCCGCCGAGGAGCCGCCGCGCAGCCGCCTCAGCAGCCTCAGCCTCCTCAGCCTTGGAGCGCCGCTTTCTGCGCCGCCGCGCGCGCGCGCACGCACGACGCCCGCATCGGCGGGCACGCGCACGCTCGCGCGCGGCGACGGACGGCGGCCGGGGCGGCGGCACGGGAGCGAGCACGTCGAGGACAGGGCCGGGGCGCCCCCTGGAGGCGGTGCGGGCCCGAGAGCGGGGCCGCGCCTGGTCGCGCTGAGGCCGCAGGTTCGCGTCCCGAGGCCGCGCCCGGCTGGCTGTGCAGCCGCTGTCCGGTGCGAGAGGGGCGCGGGCCCACGCGGGGACACGCGTACCGAGCGTGGCCGCCTCCCTTGCTACGACTGGCCCCGGCGGCCTCTGCAACGGGCGGACACTGCGGCCTCCCCGGCTTAGGGCTAGTGCGGAGTTTGCCTGCGCTCGCCAGGTCCCCAATTTTCCTCCGGGGAGCGACGGACTCCTACGCGGCCGGCGTCGGCTGGGGTGCGCGGCGGCCCTGGGTGGGGGCCAGGCCACCGAGCCATGCGGAGGACGCGCCGGGAGGAAGCCGGGGCGACCTCTTGGCTGTTCTGGCTCCAGTGAGGAAATCCTCCCCAGCCCCGGACCTGGTACTGCCGGACTGCCCGCCGCCTCCCCGGGCCTTACGCAGGCCGGGCCAAGGCTCTCGCAGCCTCTGAGCGGGCCGAGGGGGCCACATTGCCCCTGCCCGAGCCCACGGTGTGTGGAGGGAGCCCAGGCACCTGCCCACCTCACTGGGCAGGGCAGAGGCGGCCCCTTCCCCTGCAAACGGGGCCCGAGGCCTGAAGAGAAAGGGCTGCCCTGCCCCTCCCGGTGACAGCAGCAGGTGGCTGCAATGCCTCGGTGCCCAGCTAGGACCTATTGTTGCCACTGCCCCCCTCTGCTCCCCGGGGGGCTGGAGGCGGAGGACCACCCCTGTGGACCCACCAGGACAGAGGACCTGGCTGGGCCGTGCTGCCCCGGACAGCCCGGGCCAGGAACAGACCCCGGGAGCCCAGAGAGCAGATGGCCCCGCTGGGCCCTACATCGGGAAGCCAGATGGCTCCGAAGAGGAAGCTCCTTCCTCATCAGGGATTGTCCGGCCCCGTACCCACCCTGGCTCACTTCCGCAGCCCCAGGTGAGAGCTTAGGCCTGGGTGGGGCCCGGTCCCGAGGAGGAAGAGGCAGGATGCCCCCCACACTCCATGCACCAGGCACCCCACTGAGGCTCTGGGCCCCTGAACCTTCACCTGGGGAGAACCCAGATCTGTGACAGGCCAGATCCCCATAGACAGCAAGTCCATCACCTTCAGAGATGGAGGCCGGGAGCCAGGCCAGCAGAGGGCTTCCCGGAGGAGGGGAGCCTCCCGGGATCCCCATGTCCACACCAGTGAGGTGCCCCTCCCACTGCCACTCCTGGCAGAGGAAGTGGGCCAGGGGACATTTCTCCTTCAGCCTGTCCCTCCATCTGGAGCCTGCCCTCCCCTGACCCTGAAGACACGCGGCGTCAATCCTGGACACGAGCGTACTTCCACGCTGTAAGAGGCACCCTGGGGTGCGTTGGTGGACGGTCCAGGAATCCGCAAGGACCACCCCCGCCACTGGCGGGCACCAGAAGCACAGGCCTCCCTGATGCACTCGGACAAGCAGGCCCTGCTGGCCCCCGCAGCGGCCACTCATAGAAGAGGGCGGGCCAGGCAGGAGGACGCTACTGGGGCTTCTTGGAGGAGGCGCTTGGAGCTGGGCGGGTCCTGCCTCCTCCCCCTCCACAGATGTCCTCCTGTCCACGTGAGCGTGTTGAGGGGTCCCAGAGGCCCTGCCTGACAGGCAGCCACACCGAGGACTCGCACCTCATTTCAGCGCCTTCTCCTTGCCAGGTGCTCAAGCCGTTCAGGACACTCGTTCCCGTCCCAGACTCAGGTCTGAGTCCCCGTGGGCCTCCCTGACCACGGCCACTCCTCTGTGAGGGAGAAGCCACTTTCGGGAGAGTATAGTGCTTGGAAAAAGTTTTATTTCTTAAGTTATTTGGCCATTTGTCACATTTTAGCCACTCATGGTCACAGTACTGTTCCCCAGGGCGGGGTGGAGCTGGCGTCTCTTTCCTCGATCTGCGGCCACTGGGGAGGAGAGGGCTGCACAGACACGAGCCCCACACTTGCATCTTGAAGGAAAAAGCGAAGGCCGGACCCCGGAGCCCACAGTGTGGCTGTGGTGTCCTGGGGCAGCGGGGACGTCCCACGCTGATGGCTCCTGCCCAGACCTGAGCCTGCTCGGGCCTCCTGTCAGGGTTACAAGTGACTAGTTTCCTTCCCATAATCTCTGCAGTGAGTTGCAGACAATGACCCTTCCAGAAAATTGGGGTTGGTGGCCTGGTCCGGGTGTGGTTGGACCTGTGTGTGTTCAGGGACAGGGATGCAGTGGCCCTCAGACCCGGTGGCTACCCCTGTGTTCATGTGATCCCCTGTGGTCACCAGGTGTGACGTGCTCATGGAAGGCCAGGCTCTGGGAACTGAGTGTCCCCTGCCATGGATGGGGCATGCGGTATGAGGGATGCAAGAATCCTGTGGCAGGTGGGTGCTGGGGATGCAGCTGGACCACCTGAAGAAGACAAGAGGTGAGCTCAGACTCCTTACCACTCGTCACAGGGCAGAGGAGGCTCTCTGTGACGGTGCAAATCTCGTTTCTCACGGCTACAGAACAGGGAGCCCAAAGCCATGCACAGCTGGATTCAGACGGCTGTGAAATAGCCATAGCAGATGAACGTGCAGCCTTTCCACATGCCTTATGGGAAAGCTGGAGCACTGTGCGGGGCCAGAGAACAGGAATGTGTGCATGGGGTAAGCCAGGGGCCCCCACCCCACTTCCCAAGAGCCCCTGCCCAGCCCGGCCCTTGAGACCTGGGAGAGTCAGGCCCCAACACATCCACACACAGTCGTCCCCAAGGGGGAAGGCTGAGCTTTGAGGACCATGGGAGGTTGATTGTACATCAGCAAAGCCCTGTGGAAAGTGCACGGGACAGATTCCGAGAGAGCAGGCCTGCCGCCGTCTGGGTCAGCAGAGCCAGCTCAGGCGGCACGGTGACTTCCAGGATGCTGGACTCAGGGCGGCCATTGTTAAAACACAGGAAGAAGCCAGGAATTCCTGGATATCATGCAGAGAAGGGAATTCAGGGGACTCAGCACTGAACCTGCCCAGCCACTTCAGGAAGGCCGCTTCCCACGAAGGCCATGGAAACGTGTAGGTACAGAGGACCGGCACGCCCGTAGGCAGGGCCGCGGCGGCAGAAGTGGAGTCCCTGCTTTCAGAGGAGAAGGGTGGCCTGAGGTGACACAGGCCGCGGAGGCAGGACATCCTACTAGGTCACAGGGCCGATGATGTCCCCAAGGTGGCCTGTCTGGCAGCAGCAGCCCCTGGTGGGGCTACCTGCTCAGGGGACCCTTGGGCCAAACAGAAGGGGCAGCCGGCGGGGCTCCTGCTCAAGGTGTGCCGTCAAGAAGATCCACAAAGACCGGATTTGCACGTCGGCTCCCTCACCTGATTGCAGAGGTAGCTCAGGGCACAGACCCAGGCACCTTGCTGAAGGCAACCAGGCAGCCCCAGGGAGAGAGAACTTTGGATAACATCACAGCCATGCCCTGTGAGTCTTCCTTCTCAATGACTTATCAGCAAAACTAGGGGAAGAGACACCCCCACAGTTAGGGGTTATTGGGCAATAGGTGGGAACATCACTCAGAGGGGAAGCTTTGGGGTCAGGTGGTAAATGCCATTTGGCCCCGGGTCTGTCTGAACATAGATCCACCCTGCAAATTCAGCTGAAATCAACACCCTCAGCAGCAGCAGCAACTCCCCGTCTGCTTCCTGGCGCGGGGTAGGAAGGACTGTGGGGTAGGAAGGGCACAGGAGGCTCCTAGGAGCCTCCTTCCCAACCCAAAGAGCAGCCTAGTGATGCTGCTGTAATAGTGCGGGGTACAGCCTGGGTATGGGTAGGGTTTTTTTTTTTTTTTGGAGACAGGGTCTCACTCTGTCACCCAGACTGGAGTGCAGCGGCACAGTCATAGCTCACTGCAGCCTCGAACTCTTGGGCTCAAGTGATCCTCCTGCCTCAGCCTCCCAAAATGCTGGGACTACAGACCTGAGCCACTGCGCCCAAACTTGGGATTTTTAAAGGCATCCAAGGCAGTTTCGATGTGTGACCCAGTTTACCAGCCCCTGACTAGCCCCAAACCGAACTCACACCACCGTCAGACGCCACGTGGTGTGGACCGGCAGCATGTGCACACTTAGCTCCCCTGCCCAGCCAGCCTGTCCGAGGAGTAGGGCCTGGGGGTGTTGAGGTCACTGTGGGCTCCCTGGTGACACCAATGGAAGCCGCTGTCCCAGCCATTGCTCCTACTGCAGCGAATGGCATCACCCAGGCCCACGCGTGCAGCTGCCGACCGGATGAGAGCTCGTTCTCTTTCTCGCACGTATGAGGGCAGAGGCCAAGCTGCTTAACAAGGGAACCTCAACACATAGTGACGTAGATGAGAAGAACGTTCTTTCTCCCTCGTGGAATGTTCAGAGTGAGCAGTGCTGGGCTGGTGGGGTGGCTCTGTGTTCCTCCAAGTGTGATGCCCACCTCTGGGTTCAAGACCATCTGCCTGTCCTTATTAGCAGGCAGTGGAAAGGAGAAAGAGAAAAGGTGAAAAACAAGCGATCTGCTTATACAAATTCGAGCCGGAGGTTGCCCAGTCACTTCTACTCTCCACCCATTGGCCTCAATGTTGTCGCATGGACAGATCTAGCTGCTGGAGGGCTGGGAAACGGACCCTTCAATGGCAGCCATGTGCCCCCTAAAACCCAGGCAGTTCTAATGGTGAAAGGAAGAACGAAAGAATGTAAACTTTGAAACAATCTGCTGCCTCTGCCACACGAAATGTGCAGAGAACTCCAGGACCGCTGACTGCTGCCACCTGGCAGGGACAGCAGGCCT